TAATCGAACTCAATCGAACATAATCGAACACCACAACAATCAGAAACATTTAATGAACTGTTGTGACATCGAAAGTCGAAAGTCGAAATTTGGTGTCCCCAAATTAGTAAGGGATTTGTTCCCTGACACTTTGACACTTTAATAAAGTTTCTATCTATCTATCTATCTGTCGAAAGTCTAGCGTACATTGCTTGTGTTCTGCAGCAGCTTCTGCAAACACCACTTGCAGTTTTAATAGAAATATACTTTGAGGTAATGAGGACACTTTTAGCGCTAGTAGTAACTATTTTGTTCACACTGTACACTGTTGCGTGCGTCCAGATTCAGTTGCAGTGGTCGTTTTCTAGTTATCTAAGGGGCCGACCATTTAACTCTTGAGGGGGGGGTGATTTCTGGTCATCAAGAATTTTTTTTCTAGCAATCTGGTGGGCAGGATATTTTTTTCCCTTCTAAATGCACTGCAGGATATTTTTTTCCCTCCTCACTTCTCTGCAGGATTTTTTTTTCCTCAAAAAAGGGTCATGTGTTTACATATACAAAATGTATTTACACTTACATTGTGGTCATTGCAGTAATAGTTCTAATATGGAGCTGCAAAGCCTTAAAATGTTGTAAGCTATACAAAATCATTATTGTATAGCTATCTTTTCGGAAAGTCATTCTTTACACTCATTTTGCAATTGTTACGTCAAAATAAAGTGATGCACCACAGGCAGATGTGAAAGTGTTTAGTTCTTAATTTAAAAAATAACCAAAAATAGCAAAAAGCAGTTCAGAAATGCTCATAGCATGGTAATTACTGCTAGAATCATTAGTTGCAATTTAAAAGTGGACTGAAATATCCAAAACAAATGAGAAAGCAAAATTGAAGTTAGTTGATCATGGTCTAATCGAACTTAATCGAACTCACAAAAAAGTTCCAGTTCGATTATGTTCGATTGCCGAACCAATCGAACTCCAATCGAACGATTGGGTTCGATTGGGTTCGATTGGTTTTGGTTCGGTTTCGTTCGATTAGCTACGCCGGGTCAGGAGCAACATGCAGACGTCATTATGCGGGAACAAACGAGACAACAAACAATGATGGCGCCGCAAAATGTCGGCTGTTTTCTCAGGCTAGTTATTTGTGAACCTGAACCTGTTCTGTCCAGCCAACAACTTGTACCGACAACAAGCATGCAGCCAAATAATAATATTGCCCTCAATAAATACTCATCTGGCACCATTCCTAGTGTTTATTCTTTGTGATTATTTAGACCACAGTACCTGAGTTGTATTTTACAGCTTGCAGGTGTTGATCTAATTGGTTTCCATCGAGTTTATTCAGTACTGGGCCGATTACAAATTGAACTGATAGATGTCGAAGGGATCGTTATCTCCAACTCAGGACTGTTGTCGTCTATGCAGGCATTTTGACTCGCAAAATCCCTTTTCAAAAGCCAGGGTTTGAATTTAAAGACCCTCGGATTTCTCCACCTGTTCCCCTCCAAAAAAAAAATGGGGGTTGCTCGTTCCTTTTAGGAAGTCTAAATTTGTGGTTTGGTATCGCTAGAGCTCTTTTATCTAAAAAACAAAATAACAACCATCAAAGCTGTAGCTAAGTAGGGTGTCGAGCAGAAACAATAACGTTGGTTACGGGATAATCCGGACTGTGTATATAAAACCTACAAGGTTTTCGTGGCGTCATGTACCAAACAAACTAAAGCGTTTAGGCTTATCATGTCACAAGACGTATTGATTACGAGCTTCTCGAGTATTCAGTTTTACCTTGCTCAAGGGCTCATCGATCTTCGACTCTCGCGCTCAGATGTCGAGGTTCTCGCGCGACGTGGTCAATTTTACCATTCAAGGGTGTAATAACCTTTTAAAATCAAAGCCTGGGGGAGGGGATTACTCCCTATAATGGGCTATACAGGAAGGCTCCGCCCCGAAAGGAGTGCCATTTTCAGGCTTCAGGTATATACCTGAACTATGAAAGCGTAGGAAAATCTGTCATTCCGGCCTGTAAAAAAGCACAAAAATGCTATCGGATACATTTTATGGCTGTCCAAAAGTAGACTGTTTACAGTCCCCTATTTTTCCGTAACATCGTCGAGATCGACGATCGACCAGCGGTTTGTGTGAATTGCGATACGTACAGCCATCTTGGATGAGTGCAAAACTACTTAGGGGGCGAGGGGCGGTTTAATTTGTGAACAGTCTGGTCAAAAAATCGAGAATATGTTCTAGTTTTGTGGTTATTTTACAGCTGTTAAAAGGGATGCAAAGTTTCAAACTAGATAGGTATGTTAAAGGGATGCCATTTGTCAATAGCCGAGGCAAACAAAAGTGGTTGAGTGCTTCCACGGGATCAAAGTGGAACTTGTCGGGCAGCAGAGCGAATCGGTTCGGGAACAGAAACAGTTCGTAACATTTAAGTACCCAGGTAAACACAGGTGCTGGCAAAAAAGCCATCAAAAAGATATTTTACTTTAATATACTATTGTTTAGATATCGTACATAAATAACTGAACTATTTAAAACCAGAAGCCTCTGTAATCCTATAACCAACATCTTTACGTAATGTGTCTGCTTACGCACTATACGCAGCAAGCTTGGGGACTCTGTTTTCATTCAAATCCGATTGAAGGGTCATTGACTCTGTGCAGTTTTTGATGAGCAAGACAAAGTATTAAGTTCTTTTCAGCTCGGTTTCGTATACTGAGTTTCACTGCATAGCGCGAAGTATTTTCCCGTTCAGGAGATGGAGTTGAGGCAGCGCGGAATTTCCACTAGAACTAAACTGCAACAAAATTAAACTTTTCTGAATAAGTTAAAAAAAAAAACAAGTGCAACGAGTGAATCCTGTCGCTTGGAATAAATCGAAATAGGTTGTTACAGCATAGCAGGAAATAAATAACCAGTTCAAATTGTTGATGTGCATGAGAGTTTGGCTTCAGGTTTTCGGTTTCCCCCTGATATCACAGGTTATTTTTGCCTATTTTGCCCGGATGATCCGGGTATTTGTATTTCCCAGCTGCTATCGTACCAGCATGTCGAACACGTGCGTGGCTCGTGAAGATCGTACGACTCATGTTTCCCGGATCGGATCACACTTCTTCAGAGTTTCACTTTCAGGGACCTGTATACGGTTACTCGTAAAAGGCCTAGCCTTACCAAAATCAGACCATGATTAAGGGTGAATCCCTTCAATTCAGCTCCTTGTTAGGTTAGGGAACATGCTTTCAGATACGAAGATAAAGATTACGGAACCTATTTCCTCGCATGTCACTTGTGACTAAAACAGGCTAGGTGGAAATCAGAGAAGCGAGTCGGTCATATAACCAGTAAAATGCAGTAGCAAATAGTGTATCTAGAGACCTTGTGGTTAAAATTTCCCATTTAGTTAATGAGATAAGATTTTGTTGGGTGCGTTTTAAGTTGAGAATGGACCGTCATGGGACTCACATTCAACTGAGTTATGGCTATAAAAATGAATATACCGCAGGACGTAGGATCCGCTTCAAAAGACCTGACTGACCAAAAAAATTTATACCACGTGAACATAAATCGTATTACGGCCCATGATCGAAAAATTAACTTTTCAAGAAAGCAAACCCAAAACCGATATAAACCCGGCAACATGAACAATTTATAGCTGTGTAGGCCAAGACTGGCCTTGTTTAAAAACCGAAAAAAGTCTTAATCTCCCAGATGGAGAGGAAAGCACAACAACGGCCCTTTCTCTGGCTCGTTTCCTAGTCTGTGCATAGCCCTCCCCCCTCCCCTCAGAAAAAATTATCCGTTATCGGAGGGTGCGGCTGTCGTTTCGTTTCCAGGTTTCTCTAACGTCCCTCAGAAAGGAGGTAGCCTGCGTAGCTGGCAACCGCTCATCTGCCCTCTCGCTCGCCAAACAAACCGCCAGTTTACGCATCCAGGCCAGAAAGGACGGAGAGAGATGACTCTGAAACAAAACTGTGTTAAAAAACTTGGTAATCACTACGAAAAAGGCGTGAGCTCCTTCTCTCTGGTTACTACGGACGGGAAAGGAATAGCTAAGACAAATGAGACAAGAATCAAAACTTCAGTCAAAAGGCTTGAATCTATTCCTATGCTGCCTTTTTAAAAGGACAACCTAAATCAGTAGGGATTTTCAACGTTTTAGCGTAGATAGCGGAAGTCAGTTCTTGTGGAAGTTTCTTTTAAGGATTGTCTTAACATCAGGCTAATTTTGTTTCCTGTTCTCTGTTTTTTTGGTTTTGTTTTTTTCTAATTCAGGGTAAGTTTTTTTCTCGATTTCTAATTTTGTTTCTTTTTTTTTTCCATAATTTTTACCTGGGGGGAGTACTGAGTACTAGGCTGTTGACCCAAAATCTAATTTTTAGAACATAAGAAGCAATGGTGAATTAGGCAAGCACACTGAAAATTTACACTGTTAGTCACTGACGTTCCGATTTCAGGTCAATTTTCAGTTTTAAAAATCGTTTTTGTTTCACGTCACACTACTTGCAAAACTTGGACTTTATACATCTTCGTCAGGAGCCGATTACCAATCTTCGTGCGACACTGAACGCTGAGGCCTGTGTAACCAGGTGTTTTTCCTACTCACCTGCATGCCGCAGGGATTTAGCCCGTGTAACAGTGTGTCCGAGAGTATCAGCGATGAAGTAGCTGACTGTTTGAATATTTTTTTGCCTGGTCAGAGATATTAGAAAGGCCGTGAAAAAAAAATACTAATGATATCAGCAAAGGTCGCAACATATTACATGCGCCTTCATTTACTGTATTCCCCACAGGATACTCTCGACCAACCGGATACAGCGGAATTACCCGGACCCGTAGGGAATTTTACCTATTAATAAATATAGAGCTGTTGTCGTCGAGGAATTGATCGGGGAACGTCCCTTTTTTGTTGCATAAGTATTTGTACGCGTTTCATCTTGTCGTTATTTACCACAGAGAGTTGGATAGTAGACTAGTTAGCATTTTTCGGAAACTTCATAAATTCAAACTACTTTGTAATGGCGCATCAAGACGGTGACAAGTCGCTAAAGGCAGAGAATGAACGCCTTCGTCGCACGTTGTTGATAGTGGTCTCTGAAAGAAAGAAAATGGCGTCGCAAATTACTGGGGTACAAAACCTAGGAGTTCAGTTACAAAAGAAAGACCAAGAACTAAGAACTCTTTCGGAAAAAAATGAACGGTTGGAAAGTTCTCTAGCGAGAGCAGAGAACAGAATAACACAACTAAGTCATCTAGCTGGTAATAATGGACAAACGGTAGCTGGTCAAGGCGCCATTGTTACTCCTGGCGTATCGAAGAAACTTTTAGAGGCTCTTACTAGGGAAAATACTAAATTAAGGCAAGCGTTAGATCATATAACGAACAGAGGTCCAGGTGGCGTCGACTTGGCGGTGGTAAGTATTGAAAATTTGGTTTTTGTAGTGAACATTTCATTGAATATTTGTTGATGACGGGGAGTCAGTGAAGCGAAAAACAGGGAACTTAGAATTTGCCCCATCACAATGACCTTTTTATTTAAACTTAATGATTAAGCGATCTTACTACCAGGAAAAAATATTGCTTCGCTTTTTTTCTGGAAAAATTTTAGGTGGAACTATTTGTCAGGCGTTTCATTTTCTTGTGATTGTTTCGCTGTCGGTGGGGGCATGACAGTGTTATTCGGGAATTTTCCCCGCCTGCCAAGGTCGTTGGGGCGGGCACGTTTGCAATGCCTTTAATCGTGATTATGCTTCGTAAGCAGAAAGTTGTTTGCGCGTTCTTTAGATTGATTCTATCTGAAACGTAGCCTTGCCCTGACGTGTTAGATTCTTTTCATACACAAATGTGGTCTTGATAACAACGAATTTCATTGGCATTCAGGTCATTTGTGTCGTTGCGAAACCGAAAGTAATTCACAAACAGGTATTGTCTCATCGAGTAGGGGATTCCCCGTTGCAGTTTTATTGGTTGGTATTCATAGCGTTCCCGCCGGATGACACGTTTACAATACTTCTTTGAAAATGAAAAGGTGGCTTGTTGGGACACAACTTTTGTCTCCATTATTTTTTTTTTGCCTAAAATCTGACAGACAAATGTTAGTAATGCAAGGTTTTTGAAATTGTTTGAACCTGAAAGATTTGGAATTATTCATGATATTGCAATATTACCAGAATTAAAAATCTTATCAACTCCCCTAGCAGATACTGTTTCACAGATACATCTTTCCAAGAAGAGCCCACCAGCTAAAGCTTATTTAAATTAATATTTTACTCTTATCCATGCACAGTTGTGGCTCAAAACTGAAAGATCATTATCATAATTGCTGGAAAGCATAAACATACTTATTATGGAAATAGATCAAACAATTATGAGGAAGTTGAAATTGAAAACAAAAATGCTTGAAGGGTCATAAAAATGCTAAGGGAAGCACATTCAAATACTTATTATTCATTTATATTACAGTCAACCCAAGTCAAGCATACCCCCCAAGATTACATTAAGGAATTTATTGTTCAAAAGTTGAATCCTGTTGGTAGTTGTAGATTTCAGATTCATGTCTGCATTCTTGCATGCGTAATGAGCCATGAATTCATACGCGATTCAGTTACAAAATTCTAACAGCTAAGTTTCTGTGAATTTGACGTAAATGTCTTCTACGAAATTTAACCCATTTAAAGATTTTCAATCTGACCAAATACAGAGAAATTCTCGTAAAATATGCACTGCTCAGTATGCATGCAGGGATGCCAATTTGAATTTAAAATGACTAACGATTCATTTTTCAAATAATCATCTTGCTTAGGGCGTACGCTTGACCTGCCTCAACTGTAATACCAATTATGGCGCCAAACCATTTTTCAAACGAATTAATCTCTCAAGACAAGCCTGCAAGAGCTCTTGACTTCCCCTCTGCCTCTCAGAAATGGCTTGTCTCTTTACAAGCACTGTGCTAGTATATTCATTTAAAGTAATGAATTGATAGATGAAAATTAATAAGCACGAAATATTCAGCAGCATTTCTTTTTTTACAGCTGCCCAATATCAATACAATGAAGCCTCAATATAATGAAAGGCCAAGGCACTGGCAAAATAATTTAGTGGTTTCTGTACCTGGGTTTTCTTTTATCAAGGTTCTTTATCATTTACAACGTTTTACTATTATAGGGGCGAAAAATGCAGCCCGTTGTACTGCCTTGTATAGGGGTTTGTATCATAAATGCTTAACAATTTATTATATTGACATTCACATTTCAGTGTGATTTATTTCCCTTATTTATTTTCCCAGGAAAACCGAGAACTACATGAAATTATTATGACTCTTAGGGATGAACGAGACATGAAAATTAACGAGGTTAATGAGCTGAAGAATTTATTGGCTGCTGTTCAAGATCAAAATACAGAGTTTTTGCAAAATCAAGTCTTGCGCTTGACAGCACAAACCACAAAGCTTGAAAGGAACCTCAATGCCAAGCAAGGTTTTCTCGAAACTATAGTCACCGAAAATGAAACTCTTAAAACGGAACTTCAGACGCTCAAAGATGAAAAGATTACCAGAGTCCAAGATCTGAAGAAAGGACTTGGTGACCTCGCCAGGTCACAGCCAGAAGTCAGGCAAATCATGAACCAAGTGTATGATAATGAGGATGGCAATTCTGAGGTAGCAAATTGATTTTTTTGTGATTTTATTTTCAGTACAGTGTAACTATCACCTTGCAGACACATCTTATTATGGACAATCAAATCAAAACATGAGTTACTGTATATCCCCAGTGAAGATTACGGTATTTACAGAATTGAACTGAAACAATATCCCACTATTCCAGACTGAGTCTCAGATTAATGACAATCACTCGCGGTCCTTAGGGTGTCTACAATAACAGGAGTAGACTGTGAGCTATGACCCTTGCTTCAGAGTCCATAGGTCCTAAACTGTGGGAAACCAAGATAAGACAAAATGTTGCGAGATTATGGGCAAAACAAATTCTTTTCATAGTCAACTAGTAGTTTCCCTTAAAAGGTATTTTTATTAAATTTGAAGAGTTTTACATCTATACATGTAGCTGTACAAAACACTTTTCCAGTTACTGTAATTCATATTCATGTATGTACAGCTGTATTTATTAGTATGTACTTTTCTTTGTTAATTATTCTTACATGTATGTTATGTTACCTTTTTGTGAAGGAATCTACATCATCTCAAGAGTTAAACAGATTGAAAGAAGAAACCAGCAAAGTAACAGAGGAATTACAGGCAAAAATAGAAGAGAATAATCACCTCAAAGAAGAACTTGCTAAGACAATGGACGAATTAAACACCTTAAAGGACGTCAATGAAATTCATAATGCACAGCAGCAGTCGGTGAGTGTCTAAAGGGAGATACTACTGGTATAATTTTATTTCTTCCTTGAAAGGACATCCAGGTGCAGTTATATCCTTTCATCTTTCTAATCGGACAAATCTATTAAATGTGTGGCCAGACTCAATCACAAAGGTACTACATTGTACTTGTCTTTGAGGAAAATGTGCATGGTACAGCTACATGTATGATAGGTGCAAGATTTGCAAGTGGACTCTTAAGTATTATTCACTGCAACAATGTTTGTTATTTTGTTGGTACCAAAATTCACATACACTAAGTAGACAGCAATAAGAACAGGAAATGGTGTGACATTTACTTCTTATTAACTGAAAAGGGGCTTTTGAATTGCAGGAGATTGTTTAGGCATGTCTTGATGCTGTGAGCAATGTTGAGAAAATTGTAAAGAGCTGTAAAAGGGAAACAAACAAAATTGTACTGCAATGTAAAAGGACTTTTAACCCTTTAAGCCCCAATATCCTATACAAATTCTGCAAACTGATCTCTATACATTTTCTTAAAGAATGTGTTGAGAGAATTTGGTAAAAGAGCAAGGTATTTTCTCTTAGGTGATCAATTTATTAATTCTCATAACCTAATCTCTTGTATTCTATGGATATGGTCAGGAGAAAATTGATGTTGGTCATCACTGGGACTGAAGGTTCATTTACATGACCACACTACAGGATTTCATCAGGACACTCAAAAGCTAGTTTTTTGTTTCTTGCCCCTAAGATTCCTGGGATTGTCACATCAAGCTACACTGTACTCATGTTTTGTTTTGAATCCTAGCATGAGGAAGAGCGAGAAAGGCTTCTCCAGCAATTACGAGAACTGCAGAACAACCTTACCCTCTTGTCACGTGAAAGAGAGGAGAAGCAGCAACAGATTGAAGAGCTGCAGATGGAGCATGAACTTATGCGAACTGCAGTAAGTATTCCCTTTTTATTTTTCTTTATTATATTGAAATTATTTAGCTGTACATAAGCTTTGTTTGCTGCTGGGCTGAAAGCCATCACCCCTAAAGATAATTTACACGTATAGAAAAGGCAAGAATTTCATTAAAAACCAGTTATGGTTTTCTGCAAATTTTAGCCCAGACTCTCTAATACATTCTTTTTGTTTCCCTGAAAAGCAAGTGGAAGTACACTGTACCTGTATAGGCATGTCAAGAAGTGAACTCAATTTTTAACAAACTTTATGGTAGCAGTGATAGGGTATAAAAAAGTTTATTGTGATGGACTGCATGTAGTAGTAGTTCTTTCATTCCATGCACATATTATTTCTTTATGCAGAAATTAATCATACTTGTAGGTCCACTGCTTTTCTCACTCTACATCATATCTGTCTTTTGTAGCTTTCAGGTTATGAAAATGACTTCAAGATGGAAAGGCAAGAAAAGAATAAGGCATTGTCAGACCATCAGAAAATCATCCGAGAACGGGATCAGGCCATTCACAGCTATGAGCAGCTAAAGAAGGAGCACATTGGCTTGAGGCAGAACATTGAACGCATGTATTCACAAGCTCAAGCTCAACAGCAGGTGAGATACAATGACTCACCGTGTGATCAATTATACTCATAAGTTCTCCTCTACTTGTGCTTGACCATTGTGTGGACCATGAAAAATTACATTGTACATGTACAGTGAGAGATTCTATTACAAGTGCGTTATTGGATTTTGGACACACAAGAAATAATCATTATTGTTAAGACTTACACTGTAGTAGCTTTAAGAGGTGATGCCAGCAGTAGCACATTTTGTTCTGTTTAAGCCAATCCTGATTTGAAAATTTTATTTTGGTCATTTGAAGTAAATTCTGATCAAGGTGAATTAATCCAGGTGATAATTGTGGCATGGTAAGGAAAGCCTTGTGAATTTGATGTATTGTTTATTACACTAAAAGTTTGTGTACATGTATTCTTGAGAGATGTTTTTGTTCTAGCACTATTTCACTTAGTCCTGTTTGTGTTTTTCTTTAGGCTCAAGCGGCATACAGGCGACAAACATCTGCTGCGCGCACTTGTGCAGCACAAGTACAACAGCAACAACCAGCACTGAGGCCAAGGGGTTATGGAATGGAGGCATGTGCGGATGGACCAGGAGATGATTTTACAGATTCACCAACCAGTCCTCTTAAAGAAAACCCAAAGCCAGCTCCAAGACGCTACTTAAGCCAGGGCAGTCAGCTTCAGTGCCCCAACTGCAAAAAATTGTTCCCTCACGACTTGCTGGAGAATCACATGAGAGACTGTACTGGCGACGATTAATGTAGGCCAGCTGGCATGGGCAGGATAATGACAAGATGATGAGAACTTTTCTGGTTATTTTTCTGCTCATGCAAGCTGGCATGGATAAGGTGTAACATCAAGGAAGTCGTGAAGGACTTATTCCACTCAATGGAGTGGATTGAACAGCGTCAAGTCGGCAGCTGTCTCTACGAAGTCAAAGTTATGAAGAAGGCTTACCACTTTAAAGTGATGGCGTTTGAAGCCATGATGTAATTTTATTGAAATGAGCTTGGGGCAATAAACAATAATATTGAGGTTCTGCAGATATGTATGGATTATCACTGATAACAAATCAATGGGGAAAGACTGAGAAATACAATGCACATGTATTTGTGTGTGCTGACGTTGGTGTGGTGAGCTCTGCAAGGTAATGGAATACATCAAACTAAGAAGAAGAACAGACGATTCTAATACCAGTACCATTTGTAGATTTTGTTATCTTATCTACATGTATTTGGGTTTGTTGCAGTCACTTCTAATATTTCCAGTTAAGAATCTTTTTGGGAAGGAAAACAGAAAGGTAGTTAATGGCACTGAGATATCTGGGATAGTTTGGGTAATAATGTGATTAATATTTTTCCATAGTCTGTCTCTAATTGGCCACAGACATGACATCAAAATGTTCAAAACTAAAGGGGAACCACAAGCTGCAAACAAGTGGTTTCACTGTAAAGGTAAAAGTGGTTTCATGTCATTTCTATGGTCAATAAGAGAATAGACCATGGAAAATTAGTCCCATGTTTAGGTTCTCCAAAAATTGCATGCGAGAGAAGCAAGTGCCCAGTCTCCTGATGGTTCTGGACTGGATGATACTGAAAGTGTGGCTTAACTTACGCAAACCTTTGAACATAAATTGCAAGTACAATGAGAGTGTTGATGAATCTTTTGAGTATGCAATTCATGAAGTCATGTTGTCAAAGAAAGAGGAAAAAAAACTCCTTTCTTTGTACGAAGCAAAACAAAAAAAGTCGCAGTACTATACTATGGTATGATTTCATGTAAGTAGTGCATGTGGTATACCGTAATTCGTTATTATGATCAAAACTCATTGTTATACTTTATATGAATTTTTTATGATGATTATACATCCAAATGTTTGATTGGCATATATGTAGCAGCTGTGCTATGCTGAAAAATGATGTAATGATGTTCTTGCCTGATTGCTTGGTCTTAATAAATCTGCTATGTCTTCTGCACGTTTTGATTATGAAAATATCTTTGAACAAAAAGGAACCTGCTTTTTTTTTTAAAGTTTAAGGAAATAGAAGAATTCAAGAATCTTCCCTGTAGCTCTGTTCATTTGATTTCTCATTAGTTTCAGTTCTGGTTTTGCATTATATAGGACCTGAAAATTGTGTTTTGAACCAAGAATATTTCACTAAGTTTATTTTCGTTTTTCTATGAGTTGTTTACGTTTCTAGTTTTAACTTTTAGTTGAACTACAATAAGCACCTACTAAATAGCCACCCAAACTAACAAAAAATTAATTAATTTCCGAGTTAGACAGATTTCGCTTAAGCTACGGTGGTTGTGTTCCTTAAATAAAAGTACCCGCAGTTAAAACGTTATATGAAAAAAAGTTATACATAAAAATCGGTTTCTTTAAATAGTTAAAGAACACTGGGATGTATATATTTCTATTGTTGATTATATTTTTCTTGTTAATATTCGTTACTCTTTTTTGACTTGTAGTCAAGACTCGTTGCAATTGTTTTATGCAATATAAAGAATGTAATTAAGCGAAATAGAGTACTGCATAAACAATAAAGAACTTGTGTTGCACTAAGTGTGCGTTTATTGTCGATTTCACGACAGGTGGGAATTTTGATTCCCTTGGTGTTTTTATAAGTTAAATGTCATTTCATGTCTGGTAGTCCCACTTGTGGATTTTTCACAAACTCGTAAAAAAATGGGCTATTTGCATGTTTGCGGGGATTTGGGGGAGGGGTGGTGTTTGCTGGGGGTACTCAGCAAAGTCTTGTACGGGTATACGGGGAGGCTCCGCCCCGAGGTCCAACCCCTTTCCCTTTCACATACCATTTTTGGGAGAAAAGGTACCCCCTTCTTTTAATAACCCTTCTACTGGCAATTTTTAAGCTCTTCACATTCCTAGTTTAGATCTTTGCATCTCTTAACTGCTGTAAATGCACTTTTTAACATGTATAAATCAAAAATCAGAACTCTTTCTCGACGTTTATTGAGCCACTGACAAAATGGATCTGTTCGTTAGCCCTTTTGGGCCTTTTCATAGACCGAAATGCACGGGACAGATTTCGCTTTCCTTTCAAATACTTCAACTAGTGTACATAAACCTGAAGTTTGAAAAGGGTACCTCCTTTCGGCTGGAGCCTCCCAGTATAGGCCATTATATAGGGAGTACCCCCTCCCCCCCCATCCCAAAATTGTTTGCCGATATCTGTACTATTGAAGTCAGTTTTATTTTCACCTTTGCATGCCCGCACTTGTAAGGCTTTCGTCAGTTGGAAGATTTAGCACAGGGAAAAATGTTTAAACAAGCCTTAAGTATTTACGTCATTTTATATTTTAAAACCCACAAATTGTTTATAGACCCTCATCCTTTCCGCAATAGTCAGGACCATCATTGTCTATTTTTATTTCAATTAAAAAGACTTTTACCAACAGAAAATAATTTTGCATTTTAAATTGTCATTTTGTTTATAGGTCTACGGGGCCTTTGGTAGCATCTTTAAGATAAAGCCGATATGAGCAGGTTGTACACTGTGCTTGTGGACCATTCTTGCTGTGAAATCCCCCAAGAACTGGACTCTTGGCTGAAGGGACTCTGGAATAAACCTCTGCTAAATGTGTTTGCTTTGTTGACGGATTACTGCCTTGGGATGGCCTGTAATAGACGATTAAAAGACGATTATCAAAAGATAGAGACTCAGGGGTGTCTTGACAAAGAGCCATTTACAATGAGGAACATGCTGTGGGAAAGGACAAGTCGAGTGGACTGAAGTCACAATCAGAGGAAGGAAATTGAACTGGATCGGACATGCGTAGAGGAAGGACCAACAGAACTTCACGCGGCAAACCTTAGATTGTAACCCACAGGGAAAATTTAGGAGAAGGATCGAAAGCTGAGGAAAACCCGTGCAAAGCTAAAAACCACTTGGTACAACGTATTCTGATCTGAGGTGTATTCAGGCTTTGATCGGTGCTAGCATACGTTTTGGCATAATTCTTCAAGCACGAGCATGATTTTCACCTGTTTTCCAAAAAAGCTCCCGATCAGTAGTTATTTTTACAGGCAAATTTTTGGCAACAAAATCAGTTTTTGATTAGTCAGTTGCTATACTATACAGCCGTTTTTAGTGTCGTCACGTGAGCTTTGCGTGACGACACTAGAAACGGTTGTGAAGCACACTAGTTTTTGGTCTGCTTATTGTCTCATTCATGTCATTCATGGGGCTTGGTCCAGTGACCAGTGACAAGCAGTTGTGACCCAGAACTCTAGCTTTGTACGCGCATAATTACAGTGATTACCATTGATGGCGTCCACGTGCTGATTGTTAATTGTTTTAGTTTTTAGAGAACTCAGACAATGAATTATGAACATAGAAGCATAATTTCTCCATTTTTTGCTAAAATGAAAGTCATTTACAAAAACTAGCATAAATATCATAGAGTTATTATGCTTCTTTTGCGAGCACAATCTGTCAAAGCTTAGGTGTATTAACATTTTGTGGAATGAGGCCAAACCCATGGCCCCTGCCCAGAACTGTACGGTTTTCGCAATGTCATCTGTTATACCTCTTTGGAGAGCAATACTGGGACCAAGTCAGTTAACTTTACGTTTCTGATGTAGTTTCTGTGGTTTTTGTTTCAGTTTGTTTCTTGGGACTGACAGAAGTGTGAAATTGACCGGCCGGTCAACACTGGTTTTAAACGAACACTTGTGATTAAATCAACAAACAAGCATAGTTGATGAAGTTTTAGTCACATATAAATTAGAAACTCTCGTACCGGGCAATTACTCTTCGCACTTGAGGTCTACTGTTTCTTTTTCTGGCAATGTGCATCATTTTCTCCAGGTAAATTTTTCTCTCGATGAGTTCGATTTCTTGTTCCAGTTGTTTCTTTCTTTTTGATATGCGTTCTCTTTCAGCTGATGCTGTTAAAATTCTATAGGTTTTCTCTCTCCTAGGGATAAATAAAATATGGATCAGTACTAGTTTAGTCTCTATAGATGAGGATATTTGTCCGGAACATCGTTTTGCGCTTTGGATAAATTGTCCCCAGATTGTTCGTCGTGTGGCGCTTATTTGATGAGGGTGGGGACTTCATTGGCAGAAAGCGTTAACTCCGGGAACATAAGCAAACGGTTGAGGATACTGAAATAAAAGCGATGAAAATACCTCTTTAATTCCTTTTTCTCCTTTCGCTTCTCTTTTAGTGAGCTCCAAGCATTTCCCATTCTAAAAACTCTAATGTTCACTTTTTTTTAAATGAAAGCTTCAGTGATTGTTATTACACCAGTCTTGGGGCCTAAAGTCTTCCTTTTGTGACGTCACAAACAAGAAAATGCGCGAGCACGAATTAACCATTCACTAAAAACACTCACTGCTCTCTCCTGTCGAGAGCGCGCAGTCTCTTTTTAAATCTAAATCTGAACCTAACGCTATGCCAGGGAACGGTCCGCGGGTTATTCAGTCAACCGTTGACCGTCTACGTCCGTTAAGTTTACGCAACAGGACGGCACGAAAACACTTTTGTGTGACAAGCGTGACAGGGCTATTACTTGCGTGTTTTGTTGTGATCTTCACATAACACCAATGTTTTTTGGTCCTTTCTAAAAAAAATCTGTTCAAACTAAATTGAAGTTTGGCGGAAAATCGCTTCAAACAAAATTATTGTCACGCTTCAAACAAGGTTTGCCGTTTTCTCTCCCGTTTGCCGTCTTCTTTCCTCTCCCGTACCGTCCTGTTGCGACGAGTTCACTAGTCTAAAAAACGTGCAACTTGTTTTGCTTATTGCAGCAATGACGAGTTTAAAACGATAGAGCGCGTCTTACAATCAACGTTCAAATCTTTCATGCAATAAATTAGGTTGTTGAAAGCCGTATAGAACGTGAAAATTACGCCATACAAGGGAGTAGGTCACTTGCCGCAAAACAAGCCGCATTGTTAATTGGGCTAGTAAAATGGGCAACATGAAGATATTGCAAAAAAAAAAAATAGAACAAGTTGGTTTGTTCCAAGACAAGTTTAGTTAGTGGGTAATGCGGAGCTGCGGATATTCAGCTCACTTTGTAGCAATGTTGCAAAACAAGTTGCTCGTTTTTGTCGCCCTTTTTACCGTACCTTTCACTGATCTATATACTAAAAGTGCGTAATCGCGTTAGTGCCAGAACGCCGAAACAGTCCTGAGGACCGGCAGCTGTTTCTCGAAAGTCCCGAAGATTAACAGGCATGTGGAACTGCTGTTGTTTTTTGCATTCAATATCAAGGTTTTATAAGTGTTGCAGAAAATATGATAAAAATCAGGGAGGTAGCCAGGATATTTTTTTTTAGCGGTAAGCCAATTCTCCAAATCGCTTTCTTTCCCCCCCACCCTCCCAACCCACCGGAAAAAAAATCCTTGATTTAAGCAGATGCAGCACGGGAATCCGAATTGAAAAGTTACCGATTTGGTCAAGTCTCGATAGATTTTGAATCCGAGATCTAAAGTGAATCCAGTGCCTTGTAAATTCGCAATGTTTTGTAGTGTAGTGAATTTGTCTAATCTGTCCGATACTTTTCCGCCTTGGATCATACGAGTTTACACGGCGAGGGCAACGAAAACGTCCCTAGCTATCAAAATGAATGCGCTTTTTTTCTTTTTTTTTTTTCTTTCCCTTTTTTTGAAAAACTTTTTCCCGTTTATTTCAACTGTCTTAAAATGGCAAATATAGGTCAACTTCCCAACGGAGTCTTGGGGAGCGCACCCAAGTTCGGACTCATAGAAGAAATTGAATTGGTTTTTGTGTCTACGTCCCCGAACAACGCTGCAAAAGAAAATTCAACGTCTGGTTCGTACAGGTTTTAAAGAAAAGCGCGCTGAACGTGCAAAATTTGTTGTTTTCCATTTACTTATTGGGCTCGTTTCGTTTGACGTTGTCATTGCCGTCGATGCCACCGTCGCCTTCGTCGCTGCTTCCGGGATTTATCGATGTGCGTAAACGGTTAGGAATCCGAGCACATTTCTAGTAAAAACGCCTTCCATCTTTTCACTAGACTGATCTATGTTATTGAAGATTCGGTCCATTAATGAATTACTTCGTGTCTCTGGAAACCGACTTATGGGTGGAGAGGAAAAAAAGTCCGTAGTTGTAGAAAAGATGTATATTTCAAACAAACTGCCAGAGTTGAACGAATTGAGGCAAAGTGCTCTTAAAATAATTATCTTTAGACATTTTGCTTTCTTTTTAGAATTAACTTTTTATTTGTTATTATTTATTCATTTCATATCTTGCGTGTACACGACACTGTTTCAGGTACGCACGTGCGTACCGTGCGTACAGGTAGCTACGCCCCAGAAAATATCAGTTTAAAAACTGAAATCAAACTATAGATTTTTAGTAAAATCCAACTAGTGGTCTATTATCAATGCTGCGTTCTGGTTGGTTGAGCTACTACTAGGCTATATGTTATAGCCCACTAGTAGCGAAAAGCGCAGGCTTTTTGGCGGCAAAAAAGGCGGATTAAAGTCTAGCTTTAACTAGCTAAAATTTTTTTATTCTCGATATTTTTGACCAACTAGTTGGATTTTACTAAAACAATTATTCCTCTCGACCTCATGGCCTCTGAGTCAAAAGCCCATTCTGCCTTCGGCCTCATGGGCTATTGACTCACAGCCCATTCGGGCTCGAGGAATAATTGTAATGTGCCCGAAAAGTTACCGGGAATGCACGGGCTTAACGGAGGCCTGGGCCCCGGAGCCGGACTGGTGCCCAGTCTCTGTGGTTCCACTCATGCGCTGTTGCCTAGCCTGTGCCACATATCATTATGGCCGCCAGTGATATCGCCGATGTTTAAGTGTTGTGAGTTATTTACTTCATTTTGGAGGACTTTTGATAAGGTTGTGTTGGGAGAGAAGAGTGATGGTGGATTAAGGAATATTGCGAATTTTACTATGGACATGTTTTATTCTGTTCAAGTCGGTGATACCATTTTTACGGTCTTGAAAAGGTATCGAAACCTTCAGATCATTGGTTCTGGCGCTCAAGGAATGGTTTGGTAAGCTTACAAAGATGAACATTGTTTTGTCCATAAAAATGTTATATCTTGAGCTTAAAAGCCATCGATCGAAATACATTGTAAAGTCTGTTATTGAAAGATTGAAATCAATTGTTAATTTCTGTTAACAGATCGACATGAAAGTGAATTATTTTTTGGCGTGATACACTTATTACTTCCAGGTCGGAAGACGGCTTTTAACCTATACTAGGGGCTTTCGCGGTTATTTTGTTGATAGAAGGGTGACTTATTCATCGTAAAGAATGTAAGGTTTTTTTTCTTTCGTTAAACTATCGCAAAGAGGGCAGTTCCTGTGTGAATCGTCCGAGATCGTAAGTTGCCTTTCCCTCGAAACTGTTCTGACAAAGTGAAACGTTCTGTTTTTCGATTTTCTTTGTTTTCAAGGTTATTCCCCCTTTTTAAAACATATGCCTGATTTGATTTCAGAAAAAAATAGAATATGTACTCATACATGTTGATGTAGTCAAGAGAGATCCCATACTTAAGAATATTTCGGTAATCTGTAAAAAAAGTGAATTAATCACGCAAAACTAAACTCTTCTCAAAATAATATTCGGTGGGACACTATTTAAATTAACACTTCGCCTGGTTGTTGCATTGTTTTGGAATTTATCAGGTCATATTATTCAATGCTTTTAAAAAAGCACTTTGCCCTTAACTGCCCTTTTGTCTTGTAAAAGGGTTTCAAAATTAATAAAAAAATTTGTTTGGATTCCTCAGCATACATGAACATTGTAGCTTCCAGGGGTAGTATCTTTATTTCAGTTTCCTGTTTTAACTCCCTTGTTTGCTTGGCAGGGGAATTAACTACAGAAGTTATTATTTTCATTTCTCTTCCTCAATATTTGCTTAGTATAAAAACATCAACTTACTAAAATACATACCACTACTGTTACTACATGATTAATTGTCACCCCCAAGTTTTTTTTTTTTATCACCAAATTTTATTTCCAAAACAGTTGACTATTCTGATCTTTTTAAACTGAATTAACCATAGTATTATTATTGTCTAAGAAACTGTAAATCAAAATGATTACAGGAACATAAAATTTATTTACAAGTAATCTATCTTCTCAGATATAGAAAAAAAAGGTAAGTTGAGAATCAACCAAGGTTACAAATTTTTAACCTGAATTTAATTTTTACTGTAACATCTGTTCTAATAATTTTTCTCTAACCACACTCATGCAAATGTAACTTCCATGAACGTGAAATGACCTTGTTTTCTATTTTTAATTTTCATTGATAATCGATGAGAAAATCAATCAATTAAATATTGTCGAATGAAGTAATTTGGATTTTAAAGGTGAGACATAGAGGATATTACTTGGGCGCGCGGAGATACGAAATTTCTCTTTGTTGTTCAACACGAGAAGAGAAATTTCGTATCTCCAAGCAGCCATGTAAAGTTCTATTTATTATATAAACACCAATGAAATACCAAACCATTTCACTTCAATAGTTTTTTGGTGTGAAAGGCACAATTTATTATGTAGCCACAGCAACGGTGATATTTTCACATGTGAAGATATCAAGTTTTTGCACGAACGCTCACCTGGTATTTCATTGGTGTTTATATAATAAATTGAAGTAATACATTTGATCAGGGGAAATTTTGAACCCCAATCAATGGTAATCGATAATTCGTGAACAAATTTGTGTGATTATCGATCGGTCATTGATTGCCTGATACCAATCGATGCCAATTAACTAACACTTATTGATTGGTATTGATTGATCTATTGCTTTTCCAACCATTGACTTTTATAGATAATTTGGTTACGTCCTGTTTACAGTAGATTTAACTAATTAAGATGAGTCCCAGGATCTATTTGTAACAAAATCACTGAGAGACTTCTTGTTTGTGCTCTACTGGCGAATAAACATGCATATTTTGCTGATTTCAATGAACTCAAAATTTTTTATGGTGCACTTGGCTATACCAGGTATCTGACTTTCTCATTTATTTTACAGTCAACCTGTGTATTCATTTGAAAATTTTGCTTAATCAAGGGCTATATTATACTGGAGACCAGTCTGAGGTCTCAATTTATAGTAATGCTACATTGTAATACCATGTTACATCTCTTATTTTGCAGCTCTGCATTGGATACTGTAACAAATGAGAAGGTAGCTATCAAGAAACTTTGCAGACCATTTCAAAATGTCACACATGCCAAGAGAGCATTCAGAGAGCTAGTACTGCTGAAAATGGTGAACCATAAAAATGTAAGTTTGACAAATTCTAATTTAAGCATTTTATTTTCACATTTATCAAATTAATGTTATGTGTTCAAATACATTTAATTTCATTTTTACTAAATTGATTGATGCATTAAGCCCAAAAGTGAACCACAGCATTCACCACGTGTCAAAACACTGTTGTTATAATTATGTGTGATCCAGAGTTTCAAAGCAATTCTGTCAGCTGCAAATAAAACCATATTATAATCTCTCTTGCACAGATCATTGGCCTTCTTAATGTATTCACACCCGACAGATCATTTGAAGAGTTTCAGGACCTGTAAGTACTGTTTTTGAAATACAACAGCTCCTCTGCAAGAGTTCTTCAAACATAGCCAAAGGTGTGAGCAGCCTTAAATGTGTAGTAGTTTTAAAGAAGAAGACGAACACTCAAAATTATCAACTGAAATCTTGAATTTTTTGGGTATGTTTGAAGAATTATTTTTTCCTTTTTTAATTTACAGTATGTTTTATTTGTTTTAAGTTCATATTCTCAGGGTGTTCATTATAGGCATCAGAGATTGGAGAATTCTCCTTTTACCACACAAAAGTCTCTGGCTAATGTTCTGTAGCCTATCATTGCACATTTCTCCTGCTACTAGAATTCTTAATGAAAACCCTGTATTCTGGCAAAATGAATTTCTTCAAGACAATTAATACATCTTGAAGTTCTACATGTAGTTACTGTTATAATTTGAGCTGCTATAATATCAATGTTTTACATAGCCTGGACTGTAGTGTAGCATGCTACATAGTAAATACATACCTAGGTAGACTGGAGCAACACATACCGGTAGTTAAAAAATAGTATCAACCTAAGTTTGACATATGTTTGGTTCCACGAGGGTGATATTTAGATTGCAGTGTTCAATTGTTGACTGTACTTATTTCACAACCGTTGGATATTTCAGTTATCTCGTGACAGAACTGATGGATGCAAGCTTAGTACAAGTGATCCAGATGGACCTGGATCATGAGAGGCTCTCATACTTGATGTACCAAATGTTGTGCGGCGTTAAAGTAAGAACTTAAACTCAATGGCCCTTATGCATAATCATGCCAGACACAAATTTCACCACCAAGCCTCCTTTTCAAGCATTAATTTTTTATTTTTTTGCAGTTGCTCTGTGTGTGGGGGTATTCTTTTCAACTGTACTGCCTTAAAAATTCATTTATGCAAAACTTTGCAACTTTATAATAGGGACTTTAAGATTCAACGATGAGAAAACAACAAGAACGTCACTTAAAAAGTGAATTTGCGTTCTTTCAGTCTTTATCGCCATTATTCCTACCCACTTACTTTGTCAAATGTAGGCGAACCCTCCCAAAGCTGAATTTCAAGAGACTGTTTTTATATCCAAGCTCAGAGAGAGAAATAAAATTTCGTCCTCCATAAACACGAAATAAGGCATTTTCATGTCGTAGTCGTGCAAAAACGGAAAGATAATTTACAAAAAAGTGTGGTGCTTGTGCAAAGTTGTTGTTTTGCTTATTAAACCTATTGCTTTTTTTTACCTTCTCGTTGTCGCCCATGTCGTTGGTTCTTAAAGTCCATAATGTCAAAGAGGGAGGGGTGGTGGTGAAATTTTCTCCTCTGGCATAAAATAAGCACAGGGGCTAGTAAAAAGGCTATTGTCATGAGGATATTGCTGTTTTCAGTCCGGATTATTCCTAAATTTAGGGACTCTGCAAACTGGTCACGCGACACTGTTCAACCAATGAGAAGGCATGCTTGTGTTTACCAAAACGTCGACCAGGTGCTCAAAAATTTTCACAGTGGCAGACGGAGCCAGACAGAGCATTGTCATTTCGTTTTCCTTTTAACAGACGCTAACTGTACTTGTCTAGGTTTCACAAATTATTTCAAAGAAAACATTTGATGTAAGAGAATAGGAGTATTATTCATTTCAAGGAATTGTTGGAGTGTGCGAATATTCCAGAGCAATCGAAGAGGTTGTGGCTTCAGTGGCATGGCTTGCAAGATTTTGATAGAAGTAAACTGGTCCCATGTAAAAACGTTTCTTGTTTCGTGTTGCCAGCACACATGGACTTCACACATCTGGTGCTTTCTTTGCTTGCTGTTGTACCTGCAAAGTTAAAATCCATCCCAGACTGTCAGTGTTCAATGAGTAGTGAAATACATCATTTACAGTTTAAATTTGCCCTCTTTCTTTGATTTTTTCAACTGTGGATGAACGTTTGGAGAATCCAACAGTAAATAAATCTTTCCGGATTTTTTTTGGTGAATTTCAGAAACAAGGCGGTTAGTATTTACCTCATGCTTAATTTGATCTTTAATTTGATCCCTGCGAATTCGGCAAAGTGGCAGAGGTGAGATGTTGGATGTGTATATCCATAAGACTATA